ACGTACACTGGGTCACACGCTAACCTCCAGGAGTAAACTGGTCAACCAACGCATCCTGAAGGTCGGCTCCACTCACCAAGTTTGTAGAGAACGAGGGGAGGTGAAGACCCGACAGTGAGCCACACAGAATTGCCAGACACGGCAGGACCATGGAGGAGTGCGCAAGGACTGGGCCCCCAAAGGGGTCTGCCAGGGAGACTGCAATCGACCGACTAAGCGGCGTGAGTGTGGTGCTGTCACGAAAGAAGGAGCGGGAAGCATCTGAGTCAAGTGTGAAGGTGTGCAAGGCCTCAGCAGGCGCAGTACCAGAGAGAGCAGTCTCACCAGCACCTGGAGCAGCAGACTCACTTGCACCTAGAGCAGCAGCCTCACCAGCACCTAGAGCAGCAGACTCCATACCTGGGTCAGGCGGCACACACAGGTAACAGTCACCCTCAACACTAATAGTCACAGCATACATGGCAGCAAGGATAGCATCATAGTCAAGAGCAAAGATATCAACATTCTGCCTAAGCAGATCACCCTAGCTAGGGAGCTCAGTGGCGTCAGGAAACTGTGCGCGCCAGGCGTCAGACAGGCGACCAAAACAGCGTTGCGACGTGTGTGGCCCTCCGCACGTCTACCCACGCCGCCCGCCGGTGCGGAGAACGTAAGTGCAGGGACCAGCACCCCCAGACCGCCCACGCCAAGCGTACCACTCACGAAGCTGCTGGGGCGACGGGGTCTCGCGGGAACGCGGCTGCTGCTGGCGCGGGCTACCTCCAAAGCCTCCACGCTGCGCAGCGCCACCCCGACCAGCACCACTGCCGCCGCCACCTCCACCGCCGCCGCTGCTGCCTCCACCGCCGCCGCCGCTGCCTCCACCGCCGCTGCCGCTGCCTCCACCACCTCCACCGCCGCCACCGACGCCCCCACTCCCGCCACCACCCTTGCCTCCACCCCCACCCCCTCCGCCTCCTCCACCGCCACCACCGTCGCCCCCGCCATCCCCTCCACCACCCTTGCCCCCCTTGCCCCTTCTGCTACGGCGCCTCCCACTAGGAGGAAACGCAGCCCCGACCTCCTCGATGCCAAGGAGGTCGACAGCAGCAGCAGACGCAACAGAGGGCAGAAGGGGAACGCGGGAACACCCCTCAAAGAACGGGGCGCGAGGGTCGCCGCGAGAAGCACCTACAGCAACTATAATCTTCTCAGCTGCAGTGAGGCGCTCCTCTAGCAGGTCGACGGTGAGCTCGGTGGGGCAAAGGGAGAGAAAGTGGTCCCTGCCTGAGGAAAGGGAGTCAGGGAGACGGGTGACTAGGTAGAGAAGGGTGATGTACATGGGGGGGGGGGGGGGGGTTCTTGGCGCAGAACTCGGAGGGAAGCGCAGCGCGGTAGCAGGCGTCACTAGTGCGGAGGTGAGTGATGAGGTCAGCAACTGTGGCAAAGGCGGCCAGGTCAGGGAACAGGTACAATAGCATGAGGAGGCTGAGGGTAGCAGTGGCAAGGGAGGAGTAGCGCGCTACGACAGTGTCATACAAAGACTTAGCAGTCTTGTACTGGCCAAAGTGCGCGCACTCATCAGAAGGCAGGTGACTACGAACAGCAAGGCGAGCAACAGCGTCACGAGTAGTCCACTTCGAGCGAACTGTACTGTCAGCATCGGCAGCAGGTGCGGCAGAGGCGCCAGACGTGAGATCAAAAAGCGAGACTCCGTCCTTAGAATCGCACTGAAGAAACAGCTGCAGATCATCTACCCAAACATTGAAGTCAACTGCACGACCCTCAGCATCGAAGGTAAGAACTGTAGGGCTAGCCATGGCGGCAGTAGCAGCAGTGGCAGCAGTAGCAGCAGTAGCAACAGAAACAGCAGTAGCAGCAGGAGCAGCGCGGCTCAGTAGGGCAGTGCGGCGCGGCTCGGCCGGCAGGCAGGCGCGGGTAGGGCAGGTGCGCGGGTAGCGCGCGTAGGGTAGGTGATCACTAGGAACGTGCAGGGCAGGCGCGACGGCGGGGCCGCGACGGCGGCGACGGCGGCGGCCGCGACAGTGGGGCCGCGACGGTGGCTGCAGGCGCGACGGCGGCAGGGCAAGGCCGCGACGGGTGCTGCAGGCGCGACGGCGGCTGCAGGGCAGGGCCGCTACGGCGGGGCCGCGACGGTAGGGTCGCACGACGGCGGCGACGGCGGGGCCGCAACGGCGGCCGCAGGTGCGACGGCGGCGACGGCAGGGCCGCGACAGCGGCTGCAGGTCAGGGCCGCGACAGCGGCTGCAGGTCAGGGCCGCGACAGCGGCTGCAGGCGCTCGACTGGCGGGCAGGGCAGGGCCGCGACAGCGGGTAGGGCAGGGCCGGGACTGGAGGGTCGGGCAGGTCCGCGACGGGCAGCAGGGCAGGGCAGGCGCGCGATGGCGGCTGCAGGTAGGGCAGGCGCGCGACGGCGCGGGTAGGGCGGGCGCGTGAGCGCGCGCGTAAGGCAGGGCCGGGACGAGCGGCAAGGTTAGGGCCGCGACGGGCCGTTAGGGCAGTGCCGCTACAGGCGGCAGTAGGGCAGGGCGCGCGACGGCGCAGGTGAGGCAGGCGCGACAGCGCGCTTCGGGCAGGGTAGGAAAAAAAAATCGTGGTGGGCCCTAAAAAAAAATCGTTCCCACTAGGGAACCTGCTCAGAAACCATGTGAAAGTAAAACGAGGAATGAGTGCATTGAGCAGCATGAGGAGTACAAGAAGGAAACCCTAAAGTGTTGTACCCCATATGAACCACCCCACTACAGCCTACACAGACTATATCATATAAGTTGAACAGTTTGCATCTTAACATGGTATCAGAGCAGGTTCGAGCTAGGACCTAATTTTTATGGGCCCACCGTTAGCCTATTCAACGGCGCCCTCAGTCGAGCTACACGCCGAGTCGCTTCTGCCCGCGACCATCATGGCGACGATCTGCGCAATGACGGGACCCGTTCGCCCCGTCGCAGTCCCCATCGCGGCTCTCCGTCGCGCTGCTGTTGCGGCCCTTCGTCCTGCTCGTTGCGACACTCGACGAGCCCATATTTCGCCCACGTTTCGCTCCCCCCCGCCCGTATGTACGCTCCCAGGCACTCGTCGTCAGCTGCAAACCGTCCGTCGTCAACTCCCCGCCGCTCGTCGCCACATCCCAGCCAGCCTTCGTCACCTCCTCGTTGTCCGTCGTCAGCGCACCGGCGCCCGTCGTCAGCTCCACGCCGCCCGTTGCGCACCAGCAGCTTTCCCCACCCGCCCTCCCGTCGGCCCCTATGCTGCTCTAGCGGCTGCACATTTCGCGACTGCAGCTAATGTGCCGCCTCATGCGGCCTCCCTGCGCTTCCCCGTCGCCTTCCCTTCGGCGACTCTGGCTGTGGGGGGGGATGTGGTGTGGAAGGGGTGGCCGCCGTGAGGCAATCCAGCACCACCCTTTACCCTGCCTCTCCCCTCCCACGGCTGCTGCTGTGGTGGGGAGGTGGTGGGGACGAGGGGGTGGGGGGCCTGGCCGCCGTATAAAGGAATGCGCAGGGACCACCGTGGGTGGGGAGGGGTCTGGAGGAAGAAAGGCGGGGCTAGGGTGAGGTTCTAAGGGGCGGCTGAACGGGGGAGTGAGGTTAAGGGGGGGTGGTTGAAAGGGAGTGGGGACTTGGGGGTTACTAAGAGGGGTTTCGCCACGATTGGCTCCCCCCCACCTCCTCTCCTCATCCCGCTCTCACCTCTCCCTTTGTAAAAGGGGGTTACTAAGAGGGGTTTCGCCACGACTGGCTCCCCCCCACCTCCTCTCCTCGTCCCTCTCTCCTACCTCCTCCTTGATACTTCTCTCCTGTCCTCTCCTCTCTCTCTCTTCCCTCCTCCTCCTCACTTGTCTCTCTGCCCTTTTCCGCTGCGCCAGGTTTACCGCTTCAGGGGGGTGTTGACTATACTAGCTACTATCGCAAGCAGTTTGGGGGATGTGTTGAAATATAATTTCTATATAAACTGCTTGTGTAGTTTACTGTAGTTATCCCTTGTTACTGTTGGTGGTGTACCTCATTGCTTGCTTGCATTTCCTATTTGTACCTTCCGAACTACAGTGAATTCCCCTTTTCGGTCGATACTCGCGCTCTTGCCATGCTACCCTTGCTACTCTAGCTATGGTTCCTAAACCTAGGTTTACTAAGCTACTAAGTTTGCATCTTAACATGATTCAACACCCTACGGGAATCAGGAGGATTGAGTTTATCATTCGCTGGAAGGACCGCACGCCAACTGAGGATAGCTGGGTGCCCCTGGCCAACATCGAAAAACACCCTACCATGCAAGTGTACCTGAGGAGCCGGGTTTTCTGCGATATACACGCACTCGCGTAGCGGAGGGGGCTTCTTGAGGGGGGGGGTAGTGTAAGGAATTTTCTCGACATTCCTTAGCGCATCCCGTAACATCGCGTACAGCAGCAGCCGTTGTTCACCCGTTACTGCTAACGGGGCTTCGCCGACTTCGCGCGCACTGTTTCACCAAACCATGCACTGCTGGCCCGACCGTGTCGGCCTACGCTTCGGGACTAGACTGAGCCTCGATGCCAGCCTAGCACTAGCTAGCTCGCACGCACCGCGTTACCGCTTGCATGTTTCGCGTATAAATGTTCGCTCATGCCTTCGCTCACATCCTGTACTCGTTTGACACAGTGCAATCCTCGCTACCTAGATCCTTTAGGCTTTTCGAAGATAATTGATTTGTTATATAGGCTTCACTGTTTACCCAGCCGCCATACTCGGTTACGCACTATCCGCTTGCTGCACAACCCCAAACCGTATCGCTTTTTGAAACCCAGATTCCGCGCATGGATTCGCTTTCCAACACTGAATTCTCTCCCACACCCATCCATCGATGATCCTTTTTCTAGCCGCCATGGACTACTCTCTCAACCCCGACAATACCTAGGCGTCGTATCATCCCCCAAACTGTCAATCTGCCCATAACACCACTTACGCCCACCGCCTCCGCCTTATATCCGACTCTTCGATTTTTGTTACTTGTTGCAGCCCGCCATGGGCATGGCCCTTTACCGCAGGGCCGTGCTCGCTGCCTCCTTCCGCCGCCCCTCCGCCATCCGCGCTGCCGCCGCGCGTCTCTCTTCCTCCGCGCGCCTCGCTCCCACTGCGCGTGCCGGCATCCTGTTGCCTTCACTTCGCCGATTCCCCGCGCACACATCCCGCGCGGCCCTACTATGTAGCCCCTCCGCGGCCTCCGCGCGGCACCTTGACCTTCCCAGCTCCGCGCGGAGCTTCCGCGCATCACTGTGCGCGCCCAGGGCGCTCGCGGGGATTGGCGGAAGCGAAAGGCAGCTGCTGGCCTCCGCCCGCAGCGGAGACGGGGGCGCAGGAATCGGCGCAATAAGGGGTGTGTCCATCAGCGCGGGTAGCGGCGCAGCAGACGCGCAGTTGCGGACGGCGGAGGGGAAGGATGGCGGCACGGAGGCCGTGCGGGCCAGCGCATCCGGGGGGGCAGAGGGGGGGAAGGAGGGGCGGGGCAAGGCGAGGGCGGGGAAGAAGAGCAGATCCAGCTACGGCGCGGAGCACATCCAGGTGAGACGGATGCAGGAGGGAGTGGTGTTGGGTGGAGTAGAGGAAGTTGAGGGATAGGTGACGACAATGAAGGGTATGAGATGACGGCCCCCAACCACCGTGCTCTCTCTTGCCTCTGTTCTCGACGCAACGCTTGCCTTTTCCCTGGCAGTGCAACGCATCTCACAACGTGTTGTCACTGTGACTCACATCACGTCCCCACCCACCCACCCACTCCCCTACCACCACGGGGCAGGTGTTGGAGGGGTTGGAGCCGGTGCGGCGGCGGCCAGGCATGTACATCGGCAGCACCGGGCCCCGTGGCCTGCACCACCTGGTGAGCCCACCGCCCTGCACCACCTGGTGAGCCCACCGCCCTGCACCACCTGGTGAGCCCACCGCCTTGCACCACCTGGTGAGCCCACCGCCTTGCACCACCTGGTGAGCCCACCGCCTTGCACCACCTGGTGAGCCCACCGCCTTGCACCACCTGGTGAGCCCACCGCCTTGCACCACCTGGTGAGCCCACCGCCTTGCACCACCTGGTGAGCCCACCGCCTTGCACCGCTCTGCACCACCTGAGTGAGCCCACTGCCTTACACCGCTCCGCACCTCCTGGTGAGAGCCAACCGCTTTGCACCACTCTAAACCCGAAACCCAAACTCTGAACCAACCGTAAACCCTGAGGGGGGCGGGCCATGAGGTGCTTGGACATGGGTTGACCTCCCACCTTCCCTCCTGTCCCCCCCGTGCATGCATGGTGGCAGGTGTACGAGGTGGTGGACAACGCCATCGACGAGGCGCAGGCGGGCCATGCGAGCACCGTGGCCGTGCTGCTGGGGGCCGACGGCTCCGTGTGCGTCACTGACAACGGCCGCGGGGTGAGCGCGTGTGCGCTCAGAGCAGGGCGCATGGCTCAGGGCTGGCTGGACGATGGAATTCAGGGCGGGCTGGGGTAGGGTAATGGTTACAGTCACCAGGCCACTCTGTGCCTGTGCGCTGCCCATGTTGCTGGAATAAGTATGTGTGAGAGTAGGGTTTCGGGTTCAGGGTATGAGGGTGGATCAAAGCGTGCGTAATATTGTGCCATGCATCAAGGGCGAGTACCGACATCACTCTCATGGGCTACGGCCAGCTCCAGTCGTCCAACTAGTCTTGGTGTGTGTGTGTTCCTTCCTGGTTATTCACTCTTCATGCTCATCCGTTGGTGGCCTGGTTTGTTTGCCTCTGTGAACGTGTGTGTTGATGGGCAATGCAGATCCCAACAGATATCCATCCATCAACGGGCAAGTCCGCACTGGAGACCGTGCTCACAGTGAGTCACCCACTCGCCGCCCCTCATCTGCCTTCCGTCTTCCAACTCTGCATGCTCCACGTCTAGCCCTCTGCATGGGCTGTTGTTGCGCCCGCTCCCCTTACCCACCCCATCCCTCATCCCTATGTGATCCACACCTTCCTCTCTCCAAGTCAGCATGACCTCGACTCAGCCCTCAGCCTCGACTCAGCGCGTACCGTCCTCCTCGCTGCACCGCCTCTCTCGCCTCCCCCAACATCAGGTGCTGCATGCGGGCGGCAAGTTCGGGGGCGACTCAAGCGGTTACCGTGTGTCGGGAGGGCTGCACGGCGTGGGAGTGTCGGTCGTCAACGCTCTCTCTCAGGTGCCACTCAGGTGCCACTCAGGTGCCACTCTGGTGCCACTCAGGTGCCACTCAGGTCAGGTGCCACTCAGGTGCCACTCAGTCAGGTGCCACTCAGGTGCCACTCAGGTGCCACTCAGGTGCCACTCAGTCAGGTGCCACTCAGGTGCCACTCAGGTGCCACTCAGTCAGGTGCCACTCAGGTGCCACTCAGGTGCCACTCAGGTGCCATGCCACTCAGTGAGTACCATGTACCATACTCTTCCTATCCATTCCCATCACTAGCTTGAAACATCTCTCTGGTCTGCCAATACTCACATGGAGCCACCCCCACACCATCCCCCATGCCCCCCCTGCAGTGGCTGGAAGCACGCGTGTGGCGGGACGGGCGGCAGTACTCACAGCGCTTTGAGAGGGGCGTCCCCGTGGGGGGGATGAGGGTGGAGGAGGGGGGGGGTGCAGGGGCACACGAAGGGGAGGCGCAGCGCACAGGCACTCAAATACACTTCCTGCCAGACCCCACAGGTGCTGCTGCAACCGCTGGTGCTTGGCTAAGAGCTTTTTCTTTATCCCGCACCTCATGTAGAGAGCTTAATGTGTTTGCGTTTTTTTGCTTAGATCTATATACACGTTTGCCCATCGAGTCGTCTGAAATTGTTCCGGTGTGCATGATTAGTGCCCCTTACGCCACACTCGCGTCCGTTCACCGTCCATTCATGCTGCCGTCATGACACTCTCCGTTTCATGGTTCACCCACCATGCCACGTTAGTGCCAGCCATCTGCACTCCCGTGCCGCTTTACAGGCTTCACCTATCCCCCAAATTTATCCCCGTGCTCCATGCCCACTCGTCTCTCCGTCTGATTGCACTGTTCGCCATCACCATCTCCTCCCCCATCACCATCTCCTCCCCCATCACCACTGAACCCCTCCACGCTTCTCTTCGGTTTCCCCTCGCACCCTTGCTTTGTGCCAGTGCATCCTTCATTGAATCACCATCACCACCTTTCGCGTCAGCACTCAACCTTTCCCCTCGTCCATCGCCTCGCGCAGCTATTGTCATCACCACCACAAGGCACTCAATGCTCATTCAAGCACGTCACCACCATCGCTGCCATTGACATCCCCCGCTCTCACCCCCAGCCTAATTTCCATGCCCCGTGCCCCTCTCATTCCGCCCGCCCCTCTGCGCGCCCGGCAGTGTTCACCACCACCACGGCGCTGGACTTCACCACCATAGCGGCGCGCCTCAGAGAGCTCGCCTTCCTCAACCCGCAGGCACGCCCACCCTTCGTCCCCCTCTGCCGCCTCTTCCCCGTCTCGCCTCCTCTGCCGCCTCTGACTCGTTTGCCGTCTCGGCTCTGTCTGTCGTACACGAGCCTTGCACTCACCTCAAACCCTCTCACATCAAGGGCCGCAATTTTGCCCCATGCTAATAGGTGAGCCCTCGATCCAGAGGCAGTGCCTGCTTGCTCTAGCCAAATCCCTTCATGACCCACGCCACATACAAGCGCTAGTTCAGGGCATGTGTGACAGCGACATCCACTCAGCATTCACTTCTTGCATCACACGTTCGAGTTTGAGTCACAGCCCGGCCATGCGGCAGTGTGTTAAGGTCGGCACAGTGCCATCAGTGGCCTTCCGCTTTGCAGTGTGGCTGTGCCCACATGCTCCTCTCCACTTCCCCCCTTCCTTCCCCACACCTTCCTGCCACCCCTCTCCCTTGGTGCCACACATTCCTCCGTTTGGTGGTGATGCATCTTAGGAAAGAGGCAGGGTGATCAGCGAACTTCCACTTTGCAGTGTGGCCGTGCCTGCATGCTCCTCTCTTGTTCCTCCCCACACACCTTCCTTCCTGCCACCCCTCTCCACCATGCCCCCCCCGACACAGGTGGTGATTCACCTGAAGGAGGAGGGGGGGCGGTCAGCGGACTTCCACTTTGCGGGCGGGCTGCTGGAGTTCGTGCGCTGGCTCAACAGCGAGAAGGTGGACTGTTTGATCTGAGGCATGGGATTCCATGTGGGCATGGGAGCGGATGTGGGCGTGGGAGGGCTATGGCACGATTGCAGACTAGAGCGTACGAGCTACCGTGAGTGGATATTTAGAGGAACAGGATGGAGGCCGTGTGCATGGGTTAAAGCATGAATTTCATTTACTACGCGGAATGGAGGCAGTGAGCAAAGGTGTGAGTGGGCACACCTGGCCTCATCGGCTTGCCTCGTAAGAGTGGTGAACCGAGAGCCCACAACTGTCCCTCGCTTGTGCTGCACTCTGAACGCTGCCTGCATCCCTGCCCTGCCCTGCATGTATGTCCGCGCATACCCCAACCGCAGACGCCGATGCACGAGGCGCAGTGGGTGGAGGAGGAGAGGGACGGCGTGGGCGTGGCGGTGGCGTGGCAGTGGAGCGGGGACGCGTACAGCGACAGCGTGGTGGGGTACGCCAACAGCATCCGCACCTCCGATGGCGGCACCCACCTCGACGGCGCCAAGGCCGCCTTCACCCGCACCCTCAACGCTGCCGCCCGCAAGCAACGCCTGCTCAAGGTGGGTGGTCGTTGAGAGGGGAGTGTGATTGTCAAAAGGATGAAGCTAATTTTTCTCAGGGCGAGAGGCAGAGATGCGGAAGACAGATAGCATGCTCCTTTTGTCCTGTGAGCCCTCTCCCGACTATGCCTTCAATCCACCAGTTGAGACACTGTCTGCCCCCTCTCCTCACCTCTGCCTTTCTACACCTGCCTGCCCTGTCTCACGCCTGCCCTGTCCCCTTTGCATGTGGGGGGCGGCAGGAGAAGGAGGAGAACCTGGCAGGCGAGCACCTGAGGGAGGGGCTCACGTGTGTGGTGGCCGTCAAAGTGGCCAACCCCGAGTTCGAAGGGCAGACCAAGGTGGGCGGACCACGGTGGTGGGGGGGAGAAAGGCGAGATGAGCGAGTGGAGGGTGAGGGAGAGGGGATGGTGGAGAGCATAGCTCACGGGCTTAAGTACTAGGCCAAGGGGCCCTGCCTCGCTCCCACCGTTGACACAAGAGAGAAGATGAATCTATGACTAGAAGGTTGGATGAGCGAGTGGAGGGTGAGCGAGTAGAGGGTGAGGGAGACGGGTCATGCAGATGGGATTCAATCAGTTCCTCTCCTCGGAACGTACCTTTCACTCTCTCCCTCGCATCACCTTCTCCTGTGTGTGTGTGTGTGTGTGTGTGTGTGTGTGTGCGCATCAGACGCGGCTGGGCAATCCAGGGGTGAGGAAGGTGGTGGACGGGGTGGTGAGCGATGCGCTGGCAGCATTCCTGGACGCCAACCCGGCAGCGTGTGAAGCCATTCTTAGCAAGGCACTCGACGCCTACAAGGTGGGTGTGGGTTTCGTCAAGGCAGGTGTGTCCATGCTCCGTGGCTGTTGGATGCTGGAGGCTAGACCCTATGTTACAAGTCCTCCAGAATGTCTGGTAACTGGTGTGACTTCACCACTCATCGTGGTCTTTTTAGCCCTCTTGTCTGAAACCACTCACTAACACGTAGAGTATGCAAACCCTCCTGCCTGCCAAAGCTGTTCCGTCCATTCATGGGGTGCCATTGCTCTCATGCACATGATCAGAGGTGATGACGACCACTCGGTGTTGCCATGCAGCCAATTGCTGGCTCACTCACGGGGATGGCGACCTGTACTGACACCGTGCCGTTCACTCACTGTGCTCTGCAAAGCCGCAAATGTCTGACATTTAAAATGGGAGTTCCCTGCTTCTGCCCCTCCCATGCCTGGCAGGCTGCCGAAGCAGCAAAGAAGGCTCGGGAGCTGGTTCGGCGGAAGAGTGTGTTGAAGTCGGCCATGCTGCCGGGCAAGCTGGCGGACTGCTCGTGTGAAGACCCCGCCAAGTCAGGTGCGCTCGTGTGAAGACCCCGCCAAGTCAGGTGCGCTCGTGTGAAGACCCCTCCAAGTCAGGTGCGCTCGTGTGAAGACCCCGCCAAGTCAGGTGCGCCTGGCAGCTGGCACGGGATGATGGAATGGAACTGTGGGCATGGTGCGGTGCCTAAAGGGCAGCTCGTGATGCTGCTTCCCCGACCTGGCAGGTGGCTGTGAAGGCCAGGTCACGTCGGTTGATGTAGCTGCGGAGCTGAGGGAAGCACACGTGCATGACTTGGTGAATCTGCATACCACTCTGTCTATCCATGCACAGCACATTGTGACGCTAAAACGTCCCATGTGAGTCCATGTGAGGGGGTAGCTGCTGCCAGAGGAGGGTAAATCGCCACTCATGGCAGCACCGGCCTGCACAGCAAGTGCCACTCTGCCGCTTCCAAACCACACGATCTTACCTTGCACCACATCCATCCACCACATGCATCGCACATTACGGTGCACACACTGGAAAGCACTCACCTGCTGGTTGCACATAACTTGCCACGTGCACTTGCCAACTCTCCATCCCTCCATCGTGCCCTTCGTTTTGCATGCCTAACGCCGCGCGACAACACGCACCACACCACGTGTGCACCGGCCTTCAGAGGTGTTCATAGTGGAGGGGGACTCGGCCGGTGGCAGCACCAAGCAGGGCCGCGACAGACGCCTTCAGGTCACCACCCCACTCCTTTCCATTCCTCGCACTCCTTCCATACCCCCCATACCTCTCATCCCTCGCATCCCTACTATCACTCCTCCCATCTTCCCCATCCCTGCCATCCCCCCATCTCTCTCATCCCCCCCATCCCTCCCCGTCCCCCACACCACCCCCATCCCTGCCAACCCCCTCATCCCTGCACGTTGCTCCCTGCGGTGTGTGCGTTCCTGTTTGCCTGGCTGATCCTCATTGCTTCCGTGCAAGGAACCTCTTCTCCCTGCCCCTGTCTCTGTCACCACATATGCCAAGCCTCCTTCCCAACCCACTGCTCGCGTCTCTCCTCCGTTTCATTCTCCCCATCGTTCCTCACGCACCTCCCCCTCATGCCTCTACCCGCCCTTCCCCACACTCCCTCCCAGGCGGTGCTGCCGCTGAGGGGCAACGTGAAGTGCAGGGACGACCTTTGAGGCGCCTCAAAAGCCTCCCCACGCCCCTAAACACCCTCCCCCTCTTCCCCTCTCTCCCCCCCCAGGCGGTGCTGCCGCTGCGCGGCAAGATCCTGAACGTGGAGCGCAAGGACGATGCGGCCATCTACAAGAACCAGGAGCTGCAGAACCTCATCCTCGGCCTCGGCCTCGGGCTAAGGGTGAGCCCATTCGCCTGCTGCCAATGGCACTTTTGGAGGAGGCGTGCACGGACCATAGATTCAGTCGTTTGAGATCAACACGGCACGCATGCATCTCACGTAGAGTTGTTCAGAATAAGGGGGGTAAAAGTTCACGTGTGCAGATTGGTAGTCTGTCGGTGTGCTACCCACGCGTGGCAGGGGTTCAACCAGGGGGCTCTGGGACCTTTTGAAACTCTTCTATGTGGTTGGATTCCTCATATGTGTGCCACTGTGCCTCCCATGTGTGGCAGGGCGAGGAGTTTGATCAGAAGGTGCTGCGCTACCATCGCATCATTCTGCTCACCGATGCCGACGTGGACGGCGCTCACATCCGCACGCTGCTCCTCACCTTCCTCTTCCGCTACCAGGTGCCCTCTTCCGCTACCAGGTGCCCTCTTCCGCTACCAGGTGCCCTCTTCCGCTACCAGGTGCCCTCTTCCGCTACCAGGTGCCCTCTTCCGCTACCAGGTGCTCTCTTGCCCCCAAAAGGTGCGTCGCTTTTCACACTGCAACCTCCGCTATATTCCTTGTAATTCATGTTCCCCAATCAGTGTATATTCCTGTTCTTCAGTGCTCTCTTCCAATGTTTTCCTCTCTCTCCCTGCCTCCCTCCCTCCTTCCCTCCCTCCCTCCCTCCCTCCCTCCCTCCCTCCCTCCCTCCCCCCCCCCCTCCCTCCCTCCCTCCCTCCCTCCCACCCTCCCTCCCTTCCTCCCTCCCTCCCTCCCACCCTCCCTCCCTCCCACCCTCCCTCCCTCCCACCCTCCCTCCCTCCCTCCCTCCCTCCCACCCTCCCTCCCTCCCTCCCACCCTCCCTCCCTCCCACCCACCCTCCCACCCTCCCTCCCTCCCTCCCTCCCTCCCTCCCTCTCTCCCTCCCTCCCTCCCTCCCTCCCTCCCTCCCTCCCTCCCTCCCTTCCTCCCTCCCTCCCTACAACCCACCTGGCATCTCCTGGTTACCGCATGGTGTGTGCAGAGAGCGCTTTTTGAGAACGGCCATGTCTATGTGGGCGTGCCCCCGCTCTACAAGGTAAAGGCCTTTCCTCACTCCTCACTTGGTTCATCACTCCAGGCACACGCATCTTATTCCTTCATCACTGCTCAAATCGCTTTTAAGTGCCCCGGTAAGCACAGGGTAAGATCCTCTCTGCTGCCACCAGTGCGCTAGGGACAGCTAGTCCACCTGAAACGTCATCCCACATCCCGCCGGCATATTCACCCCCTCACGTTCATCCGAGCCCCTTTTCCCCCCCACCTCACCCCACCGCATAGGTGGAGGTGGGGCGGCAAGCGCCAGTGTATTGCTACAGCGAGGCGGAGCTGCAGGCGCACCTGCGCTCGCTGCCCCCGTCCGCGTCCCCAACCATCCAGCGCTTCAAAGGTGCGCTCCTTTGATATGTGTGTTTTGTTGGGAAGGTGCATTACTTTCTAAGGTTTGTTCCTTGAGAATGTGCGTTCCTTTAGAGGGTGCTTTTTTTATGAAGGGGAGGAAATGTGAGAGGTTGCTTTGGGAGACGTTGCTGGATCCCAGCCAGCATTGTCTTTTTTCACGTCCTTCCACTGCACTCCCACTGCCCTCCCACTGCCCTCCCACTGCCCTCCCTCTGCCCTCCCTCTGCCCTTGCTCTGCCCTCCCTCTGCCCTTGCTCTGCCTTCCCTCTGCTCTCCCTGTACCCTCCCTGTGCCTTCCCTCTGCTCTCCCTGTACCCTCCCTGTGCCTTCCCCCTGCCCTCCTTCTGCCTTCCCCCTCCCTCTGCACATCACGCCCTCAGGGCTGGGCGAGATGATGCCGACACAGCTGTGGGAGACGACCCTGGACCCGAGCCAGAGGCGGCTGAAGCTGATCACCGTGGACGAGGCGGCGCAGGCCAGTGTCACCCTCTCCGTGCTCATGGGGGATAAGGTGCGGTCATGGGGGACAAGGTGCGGTCATGGGGGATAAGGTGCGGTCATGGGGGATAAGGTGCGGTCATAGGGAGATAAGGTGCGGTCATAGGGGGATAAGGTGCGGTCATAGGGGGATAAGGTGCGGTCATAGGGGGATAAGGTGCGCTCATAAGGTGCAGTGTCATGCGTTCGAGGTGCATGTCATGCGTTCGACGTGCATGTCATGCGTTCGAGGTGCATGTCATGCGTTCGAGGTGCATGTCATGGGTTCGAGGTGCATGTCATGCGTTCGAGGTGCATGTCATGGGTTCGAGGTGCATGTCATGCGTTCGAGGTGCATGTCATGTTGTTACCCCGTCAACGCAGTGCCCAACCACACAGCACAGCGCGAAGTCGCTGTTTGGCGTGGGTGGGGCTGCTGTGAGGTGTGGGTGGGGTCGCTGTGAGGCATGGGTGGGGTGAAGAGCATGCATGGTGTTTGTATGGTGATGGAGGAGGCTGTGCGAATGACACTCTTCGTAGCACTACTCCATCATCACCTCCTGCTTCTCATCGCCTCCTGTTAACAATACAGCCAAGCTGTAATGTTGATGTTGGTTGGAATTGATGTGTTCTCACACGCAATTCAGTGTACTCATCACCACCCTGCATGCCTTTCACTACTGATCTGCATGCCTCCCCAAAGGTTCAGCTACGATATTCATGTGTTTCGCACCGTGTGCCCTGTCTGGCGAGTGTGTGTGGTGTGCAGGTGGGGCCGCGCAAGGAGTTGATTCAGACTGTGGGAAGCAGGATGGCAGCAGCTGGCATGCTCGATATCTAGCCTGACACACCACAATTCTGGTGTCGTTTCGTGTTGCGATTCAGTCGGAAGCTTGGTCCCTCAATGAGTTTAAAGCCACAACCTTTAGTGGACAGGACGATCATTTTTATTTGTGGTGCAAATTGTGGAGAATAAAGCCAAATGAAGCAGTGACTACAATGCAGCAGAGTTTTATCCAAGCAAACAGTATCTCCACCACCATCGCTGCACAGGTCGGTATTATCTTTGCTCCCACCAAAGCTGTGGACGTGGATCCATGTCAAGTGGCTCTCATCTGTATAGCGCAGCCATGCAAAGCTGAAATCAAGGAAAGAGATTGGATGCTACAGGGCGTGTAGGCAGTGCAGCACATTGCAGGCATGTGGACCATTGCACCCCTCACAATAGATATGAAAAAATGGTATGCGTTTATCGCTTTCGAATTTGCGTATTGTGAAAGCGAAGCTAACTGTAACGCAATTTTGTGCAACGTCGAAGCGTCGTATTGTTGGTGCAACCTATGGTTTGCACTCGGCTTGTTCTCCGTGTGCGTGCATGCGTGTGTGCATGGAGTGGTATGAGGGCATGAGATAATATATATTTCATGCTTATAATAGTGTGTGAATGTTAGTCATGATGTCAAATGTGTGTGTGTCGAGTCAATGGCGAATCATCGCTAGTCGCGTGTCTACGTCATCGTTTGTGTGTGTCGCGCGGTTTCTACTTTGTCGTGTGTGGAACGTTCGGCGTGTCACAGGTGTGTGCAGCAGACCCGTCAAGAACTCAATGATGAGTTTATGATGAAGAACCAGAGCCTTGGTTTCAAGACTCAAGTGATTGCGAAGCCCGCGAAAGGTGTATACGTCAAGATATTGAAAATAGTTACATTACTTTGTGTAGTGTAACATTTCAGTTGGTGTAGGCTCTTGTGAAGGGTAATTTCGAGACCCTTCGTGGTTGGGGACAGTGTGACACTGTTTCACATCACTGTACCTCGGCTCTTGGGGTTTGTAGGAGCTGGGAATCATTCCCAACTCGTAACTCTTCCTAATTTGTGTTCTAAGACTATAGTGGCTGCCATAGTGCCGTTCGTTTCAAACCGACGTTGTGTCATCAATACTTGGTGAAATCGTGCGATCTAAATTGCCTATTGTAGGCGACGTTAAGACGCTCCAGATCCAAGTTGAGTCAGGCCATTTGAAGCCGTGACCAGAACGCTATGAACGTTTAAAGCCGCTGTGCAGAAATCCGTCTGTGCACTCTATCGTTCGTTTTTTAGGCACATTGAAGCCTATTGTGACTATAACAAGTGGTATCAGAGCGCCTTGGAGCAGCTTGGACGATGGCTGGACCTGAGGAAAGGGGTGATAGAGGTGCTGGAGGGAGTGGAGGACCCCAAGCATAAGGTCAACCCCGTGATACAGCCATGGCGCTTGTGCAACCTACTCTTGGACCTTCGAGGGATGAACCAAGAGTGTTCGGGCTTGACAAGTTCAACGGTGATAACTTTGCTGAGTGGTGCTTCAGAATGGAGAACGTGTTTGACCACTATGACCTGCTAGAGGTGATGAAAGGAACGGAGAAGCGCCCCGAGAACGACCCGGAGAAGAGCCCGTGGGTGCGGAAGAGCGCACAAGGCTACCTCCTACTAGGGCAAGCGTTGGGGAGCAGCCAAATCCGTCGCATCAAGCCATTCCAGCGTGAACTAGGGAAGGGACCAAAGGCATGGGCTGCTCTCAAGGGTGTACACGCTCCTGCAACAGCGGCAGTAGCTGTGGTGTTTGAACGGCAAATGGCGACACTACGGTTTGAAGAAGATGAACCCGTGGAAGAAGGGGTGGAGAAATTCTTCGACTTGTCGACGCGGCTTGAGGGAGCTGATTTGAACGACAGTGAGCTCCAGAAGATAACCAAGTTGCTGGCCATACACCCTGAGTCATGGTCCTCCCTCATCATCAACCTCAATTGCGATCTGCCCCGCCTCTCGCTCGAAGACGTGAAGCGAGCTATCCTTCAAGAGGATTTCCGCCGCCGTGAGTTGGCGGGTCCGGATGGCGCCGGGGCAGCAAGCGTCGGCCGTGGTTACGGCCGTGGAAGGGGCAGAGGACGAGGGGGAGGCAGATTTGACAGCAACAACTTCAATGGAGGCCGCGGGAGTGGCGGTTACGGCAGCGACGACAAGAGCTACGGACGCGGTCGCGGCCGATTCGACGGCGAGTGCCATTATTGCCACAAGAGCGGACACATGTGGCGCGATTGCTATCAACTCCCAGATGGATGGACCCCTGCTCAAGGCCAAGAGGGTAGAGGAGCAGGACGAGGGAGAGGAAGAGGCCGTGGAGGCCGTGGCGGTCGCGGAGGTGGTGCTGCAAACATGAAAGGCGGTGATAACGACAAGGACCCGAGCGACGATCGCTTTCCGGGCCAATTCTTCTTCGTCTCGACGCAAGCAACAGCTGGACCAGAGATGGATGAAGACTTTGAGGAGCCAGCAGCTGTGGGGAAGATGACCCTACACTCACTGGACTATTGGGTGATCCATAACGGCGCTACCTATAGCATGACACCTCGTGTGGACTTGCTCACCGAACTCGAACCGTCACCGGTGAAGCATGTCACATCGGCCTTGGGGCAGCGAGCAGAGGTGAAAGGCATGGGCAAGGCCATGTTTAAGGGTGCTTTGGGTGCCCAACCTTGCTGTGAACCTTATTTCCGTGCGGCGGTTGCAAAAGGCCGGCATGGACACGAGCTCGAACGGAGCCAAGACCTATACCGCGAGGCTTGGCGAGCAGATTCTATGGGACCTTCACGAGGATAGGGATGTCTACAACGAGATGTGGCAGATCCCTGTGGTCCCAATGCCTAAGGTGGTAGCAAGCATTAGCACCAAGGGTGAAGCGGTTGGTAGCGGCTACGGCGCGAACGATGGCGCCAAGGCGAATGAGTCCAAGAAGTGCAATCTTGGAGGGACCAGCAAGCTCGGTGAACACAATGAGAGTTGTGCAGCAGCCAAGGAGTAGCTCAAGGGTGAGAAGAACCCCAAGGAGGAGGACTACGGGAGAGAGCATGTGGGGCGCTATTGCGAGCGCGGCATTCTCCAATCCGACTTCGGCTACGGGGGAATGTGATTGGCTCACCTTGCATCGGCGCATGGGGCATGTGGCCCTGCCTATCTTGCAGCTGCTAGTGAAGAATGAGATGGTTGCTAGCATACGTGTGAAGGGGGAGCCCGATGAGGTACTTGGCTGCCCGACGTGCATGCAAGCCAAGTTCACCCGTTTCCCGTTCTCGACTTCGGAGGCAACGGCTAAGGCACCACTTGATGAGGTGGTGATGGACGTGGTGGGCCCCTTGAACCTAGGAGCTGATGGAGCAGAGAACTTCCTCACCATTGTCGACGTCTACACCCGAATGACCTGGGTGTACGTGCTTTCCAAGAAGAGTGACGTGGCTGAAACGGTGAAGACCGATTGGTTGCCGATGGTGGAGCGGCAACAAGACCGGCTAGTAAAGTCAATCCGCACCGATTGAGGGGGAGAGTTCCTGAGCAAGGAGTTCGGAATGTGGCTGAAGAAGAATGGGATAAGGCACTCCCTTACCATGCCATACTCCCCTGCAATGAACGGCATCGCAGAGCGAGCGAACCGGACTATCACGGAGACGGCACGCGGGTTGCTCATTGAAGCCGGGCTACCCGACTATTTGTGGCCTGATGCGGTGCGGAGTGCATGTGTGGCCAAGAACAGAGCTTTGACTCATGTGGGAGCAGACAAATGGGTGCCCTATGTGGAGTGGATTGTAGCCTACTCTGACTATAATACCAAGGACGCAGAGGAAGAAGAGGAGGAGGTGCAGCAAGTGAGCGAGCGTGGACCGACACTTCCTTCACGCGTTCTTCTCTCCGGTGGAGATGCCGGGAGAACCAGCAACTCTCAAGGAGGCCTTGGAGAGTAGTGATGTTGAGGAGTGGAAGTAGGCAATGGAGAGCGAGGTGAAGAGCATTGAGGAGAACGACACGTGGGAATTGGTGGAGCTACCGGAGGGGCGTAAGGCGATTACGTCCAAGTGGCTCTTCAAGATCAAGTCCGGCGCCGACCGCAAGATTGAGCGCTACAAGTCTAGGCTTATGGCCAAGGGGTACCAGCAGAAGGAGAAGGTGGACCTCAAGGAGCTGTTTGCTCTTGTGGTGAAGCTGACGACGCTTCGAACCGTACTCGTGGGTGCTGCCATCAAACGATGGGTGGTGAAACAAATGGACGTGACAACCGCGTTCCTCAATGGCAACCCTACTGTTTGCACTCGGCTTGTTGTCCGTGTGCGTGCATGCGTGTGTGCATGGAATGGAATGAGGGCATGAAATAATATATATTTCATGCATATAATAGTGTGTGAATGATGAGTCATTATGTCGAGTGTGTGTGTCGAGTCAATAGCGAGTTATCGCTAGTCGCGTGTTATGCGGTCGTTTGTGTCTCGCGCGCGGTTTCTGTTTTGTCTTGTGTTCCGCGAGCGGTTTCTATTTTGTCGTGTGACGAACGTTCGGCGTATCACATGTGTGTGCAGCAGACCCATTAAAAACTCAAGGATGAGTTTGTGATGAAGAACCCGAGCCCTGGTTTCAAACTTCAAGTGATTTCGAAGCTCGCCAAAAGGGTACACTTCAAGATATTGAAGATAGTTACATTACTTTGTGTAGTGTAATATTTCTCTTGGTGTAGGCCCTTGTGAAGGGTAGTTTCGAGACCCTTCTTGGTTGGGGACAGTGTAGCACTGTTCCACATCACTGTACCTCGGCTCTTGGGGTTTGTAGGAGCTCGGAGTCATGGCCAACTCGTAACTCTTCGTAACTCTTCCTAATTTGTGTTCTAAGACTATAGTGGCTGCCATAGTGCCGTTCGTTCAAACCTACGCTGTGCCGTCAATACTTGGTGAAATCGTGCGATCTGAATTGCCTATTGTAGGCGACGTTAAGACGCTCCAGATCCAAGTTGAATGAGGTCATTTGATGCCGTGACCAGAAC